TCACCTTCTGGCTACTCACCATCACCTACCTAACATACTCACTAACAATACCACTCGACGTTCTACACCTATAATCACACCTACACACTACCGTGCTTACACCTCTTGCACTACTCACCAACTACACACAACCAAATGACATCACCTACTCACTCCACTACTACCATCCATCATATAACTACAACCTCTTCTCAGTTATTAACCACTTCGTCACCTTCTGGCTACTCGTCATCACTTACCTCCTCTACGCACTACACTTCCCCCTTGACATTCTCCACATCCTCTCGCATTGGCGCCTCGCCTATAGTCATCACCTTCAGCCATGCATCTACTCGCCGACAAGATACCCGCACCTACTACATTGTACTTCAAACCGTAATCTAATACTCACTCTATTCGACACCTCACCTACTCACTCCACTACCCACTATTCCACCTCACCTTCTGGCTAGTCGCCATCACCTACCTAACATACTCACTCACAATACCACTCGACGTCCTACATTTACGGTCACACCTACGCACTGCCGTGCTTACACCACTAGTACTACTTACCAACTACACACAACCACATGACATCACATACTTCAAACCGTAATTTACAACTCACTCTATTCGACACCTTACCTAATCACTCCACTACCCACTACTCCACCTCACCTTCTGGCTACTCGTCATCACCTACCTAACATACTCACTAACAATACCACTCGACGTTCTACACCTACGATCACAACTACGCACTGCCGTGCTCACACCACTAGTACTACTCACCAACCACACACAACCACATGACATCACATACTCACTCCACTACTACCATACATCATATAACTACAACCTCCTCTCAGCAATCAACCTCTTCGTCACCCTCTGGCTACTCGCTATCATTTACCTAACATACTCTCTCACGATGCCACTCGACGTTCTACACCTACGTTCACACCTACACATTGCCGTGCTAACACCACTAGTACTACTTACCAATAACACACAACCATATGATATCACATATTTCAAACCGTAATCTAATACTCACTCTATTCGACACATCACCTAGTCACTCCACTACGCACTGTTCCACCTCACCTTCTGGCTACTCGTCATCATCTACCTCCTCTACACACTACTCTTCCCCCTGGACCTACTCCACATGCTCTCGCATTGGCGCCTTGCCTACACCCACCACCTACTACCACTGCATCTACTCGCCCACAAGATACCCGCACCTACTACATTGTACTTCCAACCGTAATCTAATACTCACTCTATTCGACACCTCACCTAATCACTCCACTACTACCATCAACTACGCCTTCAATCCACCCCAAACAATTGCGGCAAACATCCCAACGCCTCCCCCCTCCAAGCCTTTTTATGCGATCTCCTAACACCTTTTAAATGTCCAAAATCCGGTGAAACCAACAAATATCCACCTTACACCGACCATATTTCCCATCGCAATTTCAATCAATATTGCCCCGTCCCTATGGGATTTCATGAGTGTCTCGATAAAGTAAAAGATCGCACTGGTGACTACCTTTTCAAAATGTTGTATGACTTCACTAAAGACAACAACACCCACGTCAGTCTCTACAACATAATCATATGTCTAATATGCACCGGGTTACGTACTCCCCGTACAGTCGGCGATCCCTTTGGGTTTTTCTTCTCTATTGGTGAGAAAATGAAAAGTGGTAGTTCCCCTAGTGTCGCTAATGCCATTGAAAACGAAAGCAACAACATCCCTACTAAACCCAATACCAATGCCATCACTACCGCTGTTCAAACCCTAGCTGGTAAAAAACACACCGGTAAACACCACACCTCCGATGCCGACCTTCGCAGCATCCATAACTGTTCGGACAACAAAACCTGTGGCAAATACCTCTTCCCGCTTTCTTTGTTTATCTACTCGAATTTCATCGCAACCTCGGCAAAAACATATATATCATACATAGTTTATCTCACTGGAGTGTTGAAAGATTATTTGCAAGATTTACTTGATGCCTTTAAACAGATTACATGTGACCATTGTGGCAATTGCACACCCAATGACAAATGTCACGAAAATCCATCCAAATGCACTTGCAAAAACATCGTCCAATGCGCCGGCGTACTAGGCGTCCTTTATAAGTTTGGATTCACATATACAAGCGCGAGATCATTGCACAGTGAAGGTGACAATCAACGCACCTGCTCTAACTTCTCCCAGCAACTACAAAAGGTCATCACCAACGCATTCAATGACCTCCACTCAGTCATCAACAAATTCCTCCTTTGCATCCGCCAACCCTTCCTCTACTACCTTCTCACCTTCTGGCTACTCGCCCTCACCTACCTAACATACTCACTAACAATACCTCTGGACCTCCTCCATATCCGGTCACATTGGAGACGTGCTTTGTCGCATCAAATATCCCTGTTGGCGTTATTATCACACAAGGCAATGGCACCAACAAAGGTTGGGTATTTCACACCATAAGATGTCATCACATATCAATCTAATGTTATCAAATCAATATTAGTATGTATTGGCCAGATTGATGGTTTCACAAAAATTTCATGTTCTACACCCCTTCCGCATGCACGGCACAGATATTCAGATAAAGTGTGTGGCTAGCTACCCCATCGAAGATGTGTGGAGAAACACACTACATGGTAGACATCGTAGTGAAGATGAAGACATACAAATAGAACCGTAGGTGAAGTCTGTTGTTGTGTTAAGGCGGAAGACGCCGAGGTTGGATACAATCTATTATGACACTATCGCTACTGGCACTCTAAACAGAACGAGTGTGACATCGACAAGTGATTGAACTAATGTATTTAATTAGTCACGGCACTACCTATGGGTAGTACATCACACGATAGTTAATGATGACAAGAGGTGATCATATAACTACGACCTCCTCAGAGAAATCAACCACTTTTTCACCTTCTGGCTACTCGCCATCATCTACCTAACATACTCACTAACAATACCACTCGACGTTCTACACCTACGGTCACATCTACGCACTGCCGTGCTATCACCACTACATCTACTCACCAACTACACACAACCACATGATATCACATATTTCCAACCGTAATCTAATACTCACTCTATTCGACATTTCACTTACTCACTCCACTACCCACTATTCCACCTCACCTTCTGGCTACTCGCCTTCACCTACCTCCTCTACGCACTACTCTTCCCCCTGGACCTCCTTCACATCCTCTCGCATTGGCGCCTCGCTTACACCCACCACCTACAACCGCTGCATCTACTCGCCCACAAGATATCTGCACCTACTACATTGTACTTCAAACCGTAATATAATACTCACTCTATTCGACACCTCACCTACTCACACCACTACTACCATCCATCTTATAACTACAACCTTCTCTTAATCATCAACACATTCCTCTTCTGCATCCGCCAACCCTTCCTCCTGTACCTCCTAACATTCTGGCTTGTAGCCATTCTATACTTCACCTACGGTCTTACAATACCTCTGGACCTCTTCCATATCCGCTCACATTGGAGACGTGCATTGTCACATCAAATATCCGTGTTGGCCTTATTATCACACAAGGCAATGTCACCAACAAAGGTTGGATATTTCACACCGTAAGATGTCATCACATATCAATGTAATGTTATCAAATCTATGTTCGTGTGTATTAGGCAGATTGATGGTTTCACAAAAATTTCATGTTCTACACCCCTTCCGCATGCACGGCACAGATATTCAGATAAAGTGTGTGGCTAGCTACCCCATCGAAGATGTGTGGAGAAACACACTACATGGTAGACATCGTAGTGAAGATGAAGACATACAAATAGAACCGTAGGTGAAGTCTGTTGTTTCACTCTATTCGACATCTCACCTACCCACTCCACTACCCACTATTCCACCTCACCTTCTGGCTACTCGCCATCACCTACCTAACATACTCTCTGACAATACCACTCGACATTCTACACCCACGTTCACACCTACGCATTGCCGTGCTCACACCACTGCATCTACTCACCAACTCCACACAACCATATGATATCACCTGCTCACACCACTACTACCATCCATCATATAACTACAACCTCCTCTCAGCTATCAACCTCTTCGTCACCTTCTGGCTACTTGCCATCATCTACCTAACATACTCACTCACAATACCACTCGACGTTCTACACCTACAATCACACCTACACACTGCCGTGCTCACACCACTTGTACTACTCACCAACTACACACAACCACATGACATCACATACTTCAAACCGTAATCTAATACTCACTCAATTCGACACCTCACCTACTCACTCCACTACTATCATCCATCATGTAACTACAACCTCCTCTCAGCCATCAACAAATTTGTCACCTTCTGTCAACTCGCCCTGGCCTACCTAACATACTCTCTCAGAATACCACACGACGTTCTACACCTACGGTCACATCTACACAATGCCGTGATATCACCACTAGTACTACTTACCAACTACACACAACCACATGACATCACATACTTCCAACAGTAATCTAATACTCACTCTATTCGACACATCACCTACTCACTCTACTACCCACTATACCACCTCACCTTCTGGCTACTCGCCATCACCTACCTAACATACTCACTAACAATACCGCTCGACGTTCTACACCTACGCACTGCCGTACTATCACCACTAGTACTACTCACCAACTACACACAACCACATGACATCACCTAATCACTCCACTACTACCATCTATCATATAACTACAACCTCCTTTCAGTCATCAACCTCTTCGTCACCGTCTGGCTACTCGTCATCACCTACCTAACATACTCACTCACAATACCACTGGACGTGCTACACCTACGGTCACATCTACGCACTGCCGTGCTCACACCACTAGTACTACTCACCAACTACACATAACCACATGATATCACCTACTCACAACACTACTACCATCCATCATATAACTACAATCTCCTCTCAGCTATCAACCTCTTCTCACCTTCTGGCTACTCGCCGTCATCTACCTCCTCTACGCACTACTCTTCCCACTGGACCTACTCCACATGCTCTCGTTTTGGCGCCTCGTCAACACTCACCACCTACTACCACTGCATCTACTCAACCACAATATCCCCGCACCTACTACATTGTACTTCAAACCGTAATCTAATACTCACTCTATTAGACACCTCATCTAATCACTCAACTACTACCATCCATCATATAACTACAACCTCCTCTCAGCAATCAACCTCTTCGTCACCTTCTGGCTACTAGCCATCATCTACCTAACATACTCACTAACACTACCACTCGACGTTCTACAACTACGTTCACACCTACGCACTGCCGTGGTATCACCACTATTACTAATCACCAACTACACACGACCACATGACATCACATACTTCCAACCGTAATATAATACTCACTCTATTCGACAACTCACCTACTCACTCCACTACTGCCATCCATCATATAACTACTACCTACTCTCCGCAATCAACCTTTATGTCACCTTCTGGCTACTCGCCATGACCTACCTAACATACTCACTAACAATACCACTCGACGTTCTACACCTACAATCACATCTACACACTACCGTGATATCTCCACTACTACTACTCACCAACTACACACAACCACATGATATCATCTACTCACTCCACTACTACCATCCATCATATAACTACAACCTCCTCTCAGCAATCAACCTCTTCGTCACCTTCTGACTACTAGCCATCATCTACCTAACATACTCACTAACACTACCACTCGACGTTCTACAACTACGTTCACACCTACGCACTGCCGTGATATCTCCACTACTACTACTCACCAACTACACACAACCACATGATATCATCTACTCACTCCACTACTACCATCCATCATATAACTACAACCTCCTCTCAGCAATCAACCTCTTCCTCACCTGCATCCGCAAACCCTTCCTGTACTACCTCTTCACCTTCTGGCTCACCGTGCTCACCTACCTCCTCTACACACTACTCGTCCCACTGGACCTCCTCCATATCCGCTCACATTGGAGACGTGCATTGTCCCATCAAATATCCGTGTTGGCGTTATTATCACACAGGGCAATGGCACCAACAAAGGTTGGATATTTCACACTGTAAGATGTCATCACATATCAATCTAATGTCATCAAATCTCTGTTTGTATGTATTTAGCAGATTGATGGTTTCACAAAAATTTCATGTTTTACACCCCTTCCGCATGCACGGCACAGATATTCAGATAAAGTGTGTGGCTAGCTACCCCCTCGAAGATGTGTGGAGAAACACACTACATGTTAGACATCGTAGTGAAGATGAAGACATACAAATAGAACCGTAGGTGAAGTGTGTTGTTGTGTTAAGGCGGAAGACGCCGAGGTTGGATACAATCTGTTATTACACTATCGCTACTGGCACTCTAAACAGAACCAGTGTGACATCGACAAGTGATTGAACTAATGTATTTAATTAGTCACGGCACTACCTATGGGTAGTACATCACACGATA